CATACACATACACATACACATACACATACACACACACAGAGCCTTGGATTAGTCTCACCCCATTGTCTTTATGTGGGACAAGTGAACACATGTCCTCTCCATGTTTGTGTGTGTGCCTGCATTCATGTATGTGTGCTTCACCCACAAGTGAGGTTGTACAGCCACAAAAAGTGACCGGACGTTCTACCCTGTACTTTATTAAAAGATGGGATGGTTGTGCCAGTGACTGTGAGTCTGTGAATGTGTGGAACAAGTGAAAACGGAAAGCAAAAAAGAAAATGTAAAAAGCAACAGCTGCCTCCAAGGAAAGCTACAAGGAAACAGAAGTTGTTAGGTTTTGTGCATGCAGGATTCTCCCTTCCCTTACCTTCCCCAGAGAGTAGCTGTCCAATGAGCTTTCAGTATACTAATGACGAGTCACATAGCTGTAGGTTTAATTTGAGGGAGAGAAATACAACGAAAGCTAACTTGCAAGAATACAGTGTTTTCTTAACTTAGAAAATAGCTGTTTTCATCATTGCCAATTCTATGTTTTTTTTAAGTTTATTAAGCTAATTAAATCAGTTGCTCAATTTAAGGGTACATATCACTTCACAGCTAAGCTCTTTTCCCCTCTGAAGGTCAATGCTTTGTTTTATCAAAACATTGAAGAATGTCTTCTTTTTGGCTCAGAAGACACAAGAAATGACAGCTTAGAAGGCAGACAAGCTGTTAGTTAAAACAGATGTAGACAAGGTCGTTGCACACATTAAAACAGTTCATGCCTGTGGCTTGAATCTTCTCAGTCACTTAAGCCACAGAGAAAACGTAGTAAATTAGGTCAGTTCTCATTTAAGAGAGTGGGAGAGAAGTCTGACCTCCATCAGTAAAATATTATGAAGTGTAGCAGTGGGCTGTAGATCCCTCTCAGTTTGTAGTAGCAACCTTTACTTCTTACAGTCCGGTGTGATGTGCAAATATCCCAGATTGTCACTCACATGAGCTTCAGATTTGAGGATGGCTATAAATGGTGATTTGGAAGAGTAAAGTGGAGGGATAAAGAGAGACAGTATTATAAACCTGGAAATGCTGACCTTTCTTTTATGTTTGTCTCTGCTGAATGATTTGTATGTGGCTTGTGATCTTCTTTCCTTCCTTCCAGCAGCGTATCATCAACTTGAATATTACAAATAGTTCAGGTCAGCAACAGGAACTTGTGCTTTGGAACTGAAACTCACACAGCTGCCACGTACACACTTCCACCAGCACTAGCAAAGGAGTCTGGGACGGTAGATAAAGTATGGCGGTAAGAAAAGGACACTGGTCTTTCCAGACATGTGTGCACCCAAGATAAAATTCCTCCCTGCTTTGAGCACCTTGAACCTTCAGAGGGCTGATTCCTCTCTTGTGGTATGGCAGATATGTTGCAGTCCAGGAAAATGAGGTTGTGGTTGAGGAAGGCATTTCCTTTACACTACACTGATGGTCAGTCGCTCAGTCTACACGAACAGAAAGACTCTCAGCATTCTTCTGCCTCAGCCAACCAAACAGCTGTCAGACACTACGTCAGCTCCCAAAGTATTCCGTTTATGTGTGTGTGTGTTCCTGTGTGTGTGATTGTCTGTCATATTTGTAATGAATGATGAACTGTGTACTCCAGGACTTGGAAATTGTCTAAGTAGGTAGAAAAAGAAATTGAACATTTGAGATGTACTCGCACCTCTCTAAATTCATAATTAGTACTCACTTTTACTGTAACCTCATATTTATCTTTTATTTTCTGCGCCCTTCAGAGGCAGTAAATATGTTGCTGATGTTTGCATTTGAACCCAGTACTTGTGGTCGCACAGATTTAAAAAAAAAAAAAGACTGCACTGTTAGTCAAAACTTGTACAGTAGGCAAAGAGTTTGGCCACCGCCATGGCAATTGTGGGTGGACAACATTTTTTTGACTACACTTGGTGAAGAGAGAATGGGAAGAATGCGAGCACTTACACAGATGAAGTGATGGCTGAGTGGACAAAAGCATTCATGGTGTAATCACGCCAGCATAAAGTCAAGTACACAAACACTCACACAGAGAACACTTGTTAGGCATGTTGAAATTATCGCCTTTTGATCTAGATCTAGACATTTAAATGACAGAAAATGGTGAACTATTTCACCCGCTGTGTGATAAAACAGCTGTAGATGCACATAAAAGATTGCACTTTTATCCTTTTTAAAGAGTCTAAAGCACCCATTCCGCCACTTGAACACTGTGTCCTTCTAACAATCAGCTGTACTGGCCAACCTTCCCCGTTAACTCATTTTGAGTTTCTCTTTATGACAGGGTCAGGTAGATGTCTAGACATGCATTAAATATGTCTTTGAATCTGTGTGTTTCAATGAGTGAACGCTGTAGATGTGCTTTAGGCAATGATGTACTTGTACTGTAGCACTGAACCTGCTCTTAGCTGTTAGTTGGGAGGTTGAATGCACTTATTGTATGTCACAAAAGCGTCTGCTAATCGAATCCAATGCAATGATGTGTAGTAGGTATTCTCAGAGAAAAACCTGAAAGCACACATGTCTGCTACCCACACACACACACACACACACACACACACACACACACACACACACACACACACACACACACACACACACACACACACACACACAGCACACACACACACACACACACACACACACACTCTGTTCACTGCAGGTGCTCTGCAATTCAATCAGTTGTTCATTTAATGTGGTTTAGACTGAGCCATTTCTGACTAATTTAGCCTGCTTCATTCCTGATTGATTGGGACAAAGTGAGGAGTGGTGTGTTTTGTTGTAGCTTCCAGTCAGCCTGAAAAGCTTTTATATTGCCTTTGTTTGTTTCAGCATTGTATGTTTGGTTTGCTGTCAATTGAAATGTACAGACTGGGTGTACATTTTGAAATTCAGCAACAGGTTATCTTGACGGCGTTCTCACCGTGACAGCTTTTATGTTTTCATTGTGATTTGAAATGCCTGCCAGACATAACTTCTTTCCAGCAACCATTTCCCCCTGGGAGTCCCAAAGCCTTCTTATAGTTTTATGAGACCCTGGCACTGCCTTGTAAAATGTTGGAGTTTTTTTTATTTGCCGTATAGTTTATTTAACAACATTTTAGTTTAGTTTTTTTAGTTTGAGTTATTTAGTTTCTTTTAAATACAATGACTTACCAGGTAATCCCTTGGTTGTGCTTAGGCCATACTAGGTGATGCAATATATTTAAACTTGACATCTTTAAAGACTCAACTATCGTAGTAGTTTTCCTAAAGAGTTCTCCTCTGCCCGCCCTCTCACTTTCGTCCTTCTCTCTTTTACGCTGACATTTTTCAGCTTTCCATCCCCCCCGCTGTGCGTCGCTGGCTGTGCCAGTGTTGTCACCCAGTGAGTTTCTATCTGCCTTTTCTGCCACCATCTGTCTCTACCTCTCTTTCTGCTTTACCTCTTCATCCATTTTATTCTCTCCATCTGTCTTCCTCTGGATTATTCCTACGTTTCTCCTTTCCTTTAAACTTTGTTGTTTCTCTCTCTCTTCTTTTCCTCTCTCTGATCTCCATCCCTCGTTCTGCCTTGTCTTTTTAACACCACATGATAGCCTCCTTTGCCAGTTGGTGTCTGCTAATCCATGGCCTCAGTACATATCATTTTTCTGCTTTACATACACACATCACAAACAACTTTAGGGCACAACAAACTCTGTGAGCCTGCAGCTTATGGTTTGTGTGCTTACATGCTTAATTTAAACCTGACACTGTACTATAGCCCACTGTGGATATTGATTTTACAATGTCTGCCGCACCACACTTCTGTTTCTTTCTCTCATTATGCATCACTGTGCCATTATAATATCACATTTCCCCCGTATCTCTCAATCCCCTGTAGAATGGAGTCATCATGCATACCATGAGATATCTTGCCATTACTTATGTACCACAAACACATGTTGTAATTCCTCCCTCTGTATAACTGCAAAACACATGTCCACAGCTGGGCAGCGACACAAACATACTCCCACCCACCTCTTTCCTTGTCATGAAACATGTAAGAAGTGGGTCAGTAGGATGTGTGACGTCCCACACACGCATACACACATGTCTCTCGTTTCTCCGTAACATCCCCATCATTCCACCGCAACCTGCCTAATTAGTCCCACAGAGTGTCGACGATCAGCCAGTCTGTCTCTTATGCCGGTGTGTGGGTGTCTGCTTAAGTAGCTTGTTGCACATTTGATGTCTTTTGAGATGCACTTGAGCTTTTTTTTCCCCCCATGAAAATGATGGGTCCTGTTTATAATGATGACCTGCATTTGCATTGCAGTTTTTAAAACGGTAAAACATTACGCCGTATAATTACAGATACAGAATGAAAAAAAGGCACAGTGAAAATGTCAAACAAGAGGAGGGTTTAAAGGGCTTAAGCAAAGGTATTGAAAGGAAAGGATTGGCAGAAATGTTAAAAGCCTTTGAAGAATTGATATCTATGTGGGTTTTCATTGGTATTTCAATAAATGTCTCAAAGACTTTCTTGTACTGTACACTTAAGCTGTAACCCATTCCATTCAAGTTTTGACTTGTGCAACATTAATAGTGATGTACATGTAAGTGGTGTGACACTATTTGAATCTGAGGTCTGGAGATATACTAGTATTGACGATAACGGTGGAATTCAATCATAATTATAATGAATTAAATAGAATCAATAACACCCCCAAATCTTAAATCATCTGTTTCTTTCTCTCTGCTTAATCTCCCTTCCTCACTGTCCCACACACACATTAATTTGCTCAAAAAGGGACAAAATGCTGAATAATAAAAGTAAAATATGAATTTCATGGAAAGCCTTTATTTATATATTTTTACTATCAATATAGGATGCACAGTGATATTTTTCCTGCTTTCTAGGAGTAAGCTGTATTATTTCTCTCTATCATGTTATATTCTGTCCTTTTCCTACTTTAGTGTTAACTCTGGCTGTTGTTGTCATCCACCAGGGAGTGCTGAGTCCCTGAGTCAACGCACTGCATTCTGGGAAAGTCTGGAACCCTCTCCATGGGCTGTACCACCTGCTGACAAACCAGGGGGGTCTGGAGGAGTTGAATGAGGTGAGATTGTCACACATATCCCTACTTTTCATATAAGTAAATTCAGATTTTTTTTTTTGCTATGTGAGATGATTTTATGAATAGATGGAGACGTATATCTTACTCTTAGTTGAGCTTATGTTGATGTTGTGATTTTCAAGCTTGAGGACAGAGGTTGACTGCTGACTGTTGAATCATTGCTGACAAACTGCCACCATGTTGCTATTACAACCCAAAAGCTGCTAGTCGGACGGCCATGTTTAATTTGATGTTATAAGATCTGACGTCAAGGACTTTATAACCCCGTGTTTTCCTCTAAGCCAAGAGCTTTGCTTAAAACACGTATCGCCCTGGTCACATTCCAGATGCGTGTTAAGTAAAGCGCATTTTATTTGAATGTGAGGGACGTGGCAGCTCATCACATGGACAGCTCACAGTTTCCTCTCGATTGCTTTAATCCAGAGCTCATCGTAAATGTATGGCTCTGTTCAAATAAATGGCTCTCCTAATTCCTCCTTCTCTGTCATGAAATATAATGTGTTTACCAAATAGTATGTTTGATTCACTTTCTCACAGCATCAAACAGTCGGAAAGATAAGAAGGCATCTTTCAGTTGCTGGACTGTGAAGGCTGATAAACACCTTCAATTTCTTGTACACATGTGCGTAGGAGGAAAAGTCCAAAGGAAACAGAAGAGAGAGGTCACACACACTTTCGTTTATTTGCATTATTGTACTCATAATAATACAGATTTGGCACTGAAGCACTGTGCTACACATCATGAAGGTCTAAAGCACCGAGACATTGTGTTTCTATTACATTTCATTGCAAGTTAACATCAGTGTGCTGCAACTATCTCTACTCTTATCTTACACTTTCTGAAATGACGCTAGAGGGCCTCAGCTAGATAAGGGTGTTCCTGCTGTGCTGTGATTGGAGGAGAGGCAACTTTAGGAAAGGGAATGCTTTGCTGCCTCGTGACTACGTGTTTGTCCATGTGAGCTCTCTGTTGGAGCAGAAATATATTTTCATACATAACACCTTCAGGTATCAGTCAGTGAGGGATCTTCCAGCGAGAAGAGAAGCCTTACTGGCAGCGCTGAGAGTGCGAAAAACACCCTATTAATAATGTCTCTGTAAGGCCCGAGGAATTGGGGGGGGGGGGTGTTTTATAGTTTATTGCTTTGTTTATATTCAGTACTTATCTTATGTGTATGTTTGGGTATGTGATGTCTTTGAATGTTCATTGATTTATTTCTATATACACAAATCTGCCATTCTGAGAAGCACAAAACTATTCTCAAAAGTACTTACAGCAAAATAGCATTCTCTCTTTCTTTGTGGTAATATTGAGTCCCAGGGGAGACATTTTGTTTTCACTTCTCCCTTTCCAGAGGGAAGTAAGATCGTAGGGTCAGCTGCAGAAAAGCACCTTTAGAGCTGCCGGCGATTATCTTGCCTGCAAACATTTCCGCAGAGCAAATCGTCGAGTTCAAGGATTTTAACTCGGGTTATTTCATTGATGGATAGTCTCTCTACTCGCTATAAGGCATTCTTCCAGCGAAAATCAATAGGAACAAACATTCAAGCAAAGTTTTTTCCAAGTTCTTTCCTCTCAGATTGCCTCGCCTGTTTGGAGATGAGTGTTATTTTCCACTCCTCGTTCCCTGAGGGATACTCTGCGTGTCTGTTTACGGCTGTCGTGAGCAATAAACAATGGACATGGGTGACTTTAATAACAAACACTAAGCAACCTCCAGCAGAGTCTGCACGCAGAGTGGGAGATTAATGTTGGACTTCACTTGAGTGTCAGGATACTAATTGGCAGGTTGCGTCTCAAGGCAGCACTGATCTGTCCAGCTACAGGCTCCTAATGTGCATCGCAAACTAATTAAAAACATTTCATTATTCCTCAGTCCAGGCATCAACAGTGCAGACATTAAAGAGTTATATGTGCTGAATGTTATGAGCAACAAACTCAACTGTATACAAATCTAAAGTCACTGACCTCCATGTAATTGCTTAATTTATTTTTTGCATTATGATGAGTATCAGGGTGAAATTTAGGATTATTTGATTGGTTGGTTTGATCAGATCTGCCCAACACTTGTCAGTCGTACTTAAACACTGCTATTAACCAGCTTTACAGATAAACATTTTGGAAAAAGGACATTGTTCTTTGAGATAAAACAGTGTGAATGCTTTTGGAGTGGAAACCATGTTGCTGCCTGTTGTCCTCTTACCTCAGCATTTGGTGCCTCTGAATGAGAGAAGGGAGTGCACTCTGGTCCTTGTCTTAAACAGACAAGCTTGTTTACATGAACTCAAACAAACACATGCATATGCACTAACACAAACACACACAGACTGAGCGCTCTCATTTACCCCACAGGGAGCAGGTTGTTCGGAGATTGCTGCAGTTCCCCTGTCTGTCTTCATCTCTCACTTGCTTGCTCTGTTTCGCTACCCCAATTTTTATCTGGGGTCATTTCAGTTTATTTCATCAAAGCTTTTAAGCGTGAATTTTGATTTCTAAAAGCGTGTCGGCGATTATTATAATTTTCATCCGAACGTAGGATTTCTATGTTTTTCTGTCTTCTCAATGTGCCTTATTGGCATAACTACAGTGCTTCCAAATCATGTTTCTATAATATTCCTTTTTTTCTGTCTCCTTCACTGTGCCGATTGAAGTGTGTGAGGTTATACTCCCCTCCTTCACACTATCACTCTCGGTCTCGTTGAATCCAAAGAGCAGAGAGTGTGAGTGCTTGAGTGTGTGTGTGTGGGTGAGACAGAGAGAGGGAGAGGGAGAGAGAGAGCTGGTGCTATTCTTGGCTGGTTGTGGAAGTCTTGGCTCCATGGCGTATGGGAAAGTGCTCTTGGCAGGTTTTAAACCGAGGCATTCCTTAATGCTGTCCTCTTGAAACACTCACACTGAGACAGATACACAAACTTGTTTTTGTCACTCAGGAGGACATTGCTTTACTTAAATTATCCTCAATAGAGTTAATCAAAAATGCTACATGCTAAAGCAAACCCTTACATAAAAAAAACCAAAGACTTTACCCCACAGCATGAGTAGTAGAAGTACACACACACACACTCACACTCACACTCACACTCACACTCACACTCACACTCAAGTGGCTAAAGCTTACATTTACATGCTCCTTAAGTTACACACTGCAGAGTCCTTGCTGTTTTCTTGCTCTTCTTACTCTACATGCTTGCTTACTCACACACACAGGAAGGAGAAAGACTAAGTGCAGTCTCATGTAGTAGTACTACATTATGCCCTGAGGCCCAAAGCCTGAGTTTCAGTGTGCACAAACTACTACAAATAATGATGCTGAAAGAAAATGTAAGACAAGCAATAAGTGCTTGCAGACAGTCAGTCTGTCTGCACATATTCAATATGTCATGTGACCCAGGAACTCAAAATCCATACTAGATAATATTACTACACTGGACAAATAAGATATACCTTTTTATATAGAATTTAAGGGCATCTTCTCTTTTATACAGGTTAAAGTAAATACAATTCACCTGCTTTTTATTGAAAATATGTTTGAATAGCTTCCATGAACCAGTGAATACAAATCAATGCAGTATTGTGTAACTACACTGAACAAGTAGTCTTTTTATTTGAGTTTAAGCACTTTTCTATTTCATATGAACGTCTTTGTGTGAAGAAACATCTCTTTGCTAACATTACATTACATTGCACGTGCTGGGGTGTATGGTTTAACCATGTCCTGGATGTAGGAAGGGCCAGAACCATTCACAGCATGGTACGCAAGTACCAGTGTCTTGAAGTGGATTCTAGCAGTTCCTGGAAGCCAGTGAAGTGAGCGGAGGAGCGGTGTGGTGTGGGAACATTTAGGAAGGTTGAAGACCAGACGAGCTGCTGCATTCTGGATGAGCTGCAGAGGTCGGATGGCACATGCAGGTAGACCAGCCAGGAGGGAGTTGCAGTAGTCTAGGCGTGAGATGATGAGAGCCTGGACCAGAACCTTCGTCGCTTTCTGGGTCAGGTGGGGATGTATCCTCCTGATGTTGTAAAGAGTGTATCTGCAGCAGCGGGTTGTTGCAGCGATGTTTGCAGTGAAGGACAGTTTGTTATCTAGGGTCACACCCAGATTCTTTGCAGTCTAACAGCGCACACATTACATGCCTCCCTCTGGAGAAAATAGCTGGCGCCATTTTCCCTTCTGGGAGTCTGACAGCAATCAGCCTGGCTATTCAACATGATTATATACTGTTAGATTGTATAGAGTGAACGGACATGAATATGGATCTGTGTATTTTATCAGAGTCTATTGTTCACTGCTCAGCTCCGTGCCCCAGGAGAAGGAACACTGCTGGGCGGCATGTAGACACCTGTGGAGTGCGATGTGATTGTGTGTGTGCCTGTCAGTGGAATTTGTTTTTCTTGGTAATGACTGAGTGCGGTATGGCTTCAGTGTTTGCTGCATGTGTGTCCTGTTGTGTCTCAGGAGTGCTGGATGTGTGTTTTCTCCAGCAGAGGCCCTTTGATGATTTGTTCGAGTCTGCATGCTCAACTACTGCCGCTGCCTGTCTGACATTTTTGTCCTTAAGCCTTTGAAAAGATGGAACACATTATTCCCAGACAAGGACACACGCTGAGCCTTCGCCCACCTCTCCTTCATCCACACAATACCTGCTGCCAAGCCCATTCATGCCAATTAGCTCCAGTCTGCCTGGCTATGCCCACATTACAGCGGGGCAGTTCACCTTCAGCGCTCACAACCGTATGCTTAACTGTCATGGAGGTGGACACATGCAGGCCCCATCAGGGAACAAAACAATATGTTTTCAGTTTTTTTTCTTGCTTTTTGACATGAAAGAGAAAACAAAGTGTGTGTTTGTGTGTGCAGGAAAGCATAAAGCTGTATTAGTGTGTGTTTATTAGCATTTGTCTCCACAGGCATTCTGTTTAGTGCCTCCCTGCAGGACCTTAAAGTCACACACTCCTCATCCGCCCCCCTTTCCTCACCCTG